TAAAGACCGAGGCCACGCTGTACGCGTCAAACGTGATGGCCGGCGACCCATCGTGGGGCCGCAAGACCGCGCGCCGCTGGAAAATCTCGAGGTACCCTCGAATGTCGACGGTGTCGGGGTCATTTTTAGGGATAAAGACGTAGTCGGCCATCCACGCGCCAAACTGCGTCGACCGGAAATGGGCTTCGCGGACAAGGTACTGCGGGAACGTCACGTGCGGGGCGCCCCACGACGAGTACGTGAGGATATTCACGCGGTCTTCCTGCGCCTTGGACCGCAGTCGCAGCTCGAGCTCCATGGATTCGCACCGTCTGTCCACTGGTTCAAGAAGTGTGCCATCATTTTGCGATCATCGCGAGGGTGGTCGCAAATTGTGACCAATCAAGGCCGTGTGTAACATACAATTGGGATCTTTTTGGCCAATCGGCGTTGCCTTTCAAAAGAGGATTCATCCAAGGTTCGACAGTGGCGACCTTCGGAGCGCTTCCCATGACAATTAACCTTCCGCAATCTACCGGGTGACTAACAAGAAAAAATATCGACTGCCCTATCGGCTTGGTCGCCCCTGTTGGACTGGGTAGTAAGCGCGTAGGTGCTGGGCACGGTGTCTGTCCTCGCCGTCTCTAGCAAATCGGATCTGGACAGGTGCGTGCCACACGCTGTGGGACTTTGGTATGGGCTCGCATCGAGGACACGACGATTCAGGCTGTGGACATTGGCGCCACAGCAGTGGACATTCGCTGTCGCACGGCGACGCATCTCGAATCTCCAGTATAGACTCAGTGTCAATAATGAATCTCAAGTCGACCACATTGTAGAATACTACATCTTTTAGCGGCTTCCGTTGGCGACATTGATCGAATCCCAACCATCCTGTTGGTACTTTGTTTCAAAAGCGATCTTGTGTCGCATGCACGCTAATGATTCCCGCCGCCTCGGATCGTCGGTCGCGTTCTTCTTAGCGCACCCGATGGTGCTCACGCCTTCTTCGTTCTCGAGTGAACATTGTCGATGCCGATCACGAATCCGACCCGGATCCTACGTGCTGCTCCCGAAACGCCGTACCGCCAAGGGCAAAGTTGAAGTAGTAGCTTTGACGACCAGCCGCGCAGAAAACACACGACAGCGATCGTCTTCCGACGCATTCTCTCGATAGCTTTTCTCGATCGGTCTTCTACCGAGCGCGGGGAAAGTGGGGTTGCAGTGCGCATCAATTCCCTCTTTTGTCAATTTTGGTCGATTTTGGTTTTAAACATTTAAATCGTGAAAATGGATTGGACATTCCGACTTGAAGACGACGCACGCGCATCTTGTTCGATGCCGCTCAAGATACTCGGTCGGAATCGCTCGTAT